CCCCCCCCCCCCCCCTCCCCCCCTAAGCACCCCTACCACTACAAGTCTCCACCACCACCATCACCTTCACCACCTAAGCACCCATACCACTACAAGTCTCCCCCACCACCATCACCACCCAAGAAACCTTACCATTACAAGTCTCCACCACCACCACCTTCTCCTACTCCTCCAGTCTACTCACCACCCAAGCATCCTTACCACTACAAGTCTCCACCACCACCATCACCACCCAAGAAGCCTTACCACTACAAGTCTCCCCCACCACCCACACCAGTGTACAAGCCACCAGTTTACTCACCACCCCTACCACCTAAGAAACCATACAAGCCACCAACTCCTCCAGTTCACACCGCACCACCACACCCTTACATCTACTCATCACCCCCACCTCCTCACCACTACTAGATAATGAGAGCTAGACTGCATCCAGCTGGTAAGTTCTCCATTCTTGTTTTTATTACTTGAGTTAACATTACCTTGTCAGCCTGTAACTATCTTATCAGAGAATCTGTGTATTTGAACAAACAAGTACTTACATTGTTAATTACACTGCGAATCGGAACCAAGTTAATGCCATTACTGATTAGGATGAATTGATATATTTAGTAACAAATTGACAAATGACAGAGACCTAACAATACTATGTCCATATTGCAGGTAAGGTGAAGACCAGGTCAAAATAAACAAGGGGCTGTCGAAGCCGAAGCGCCTTAACCTACAAAAAAGAAGAAGATCGAGTCTCCGCAGTTGATGTAACGTTTTTATTTATGCAGATGTTGTATTTTTATTAGACAGTTGTAGTGCACTTGTTTTATTTTATATATTTCTCAAAAGAGATGCCATGTGTATTGTCGTTTATTTCAACCTTCTTCCTAATGGAGAGGAGATCATCATAATAATAAAATAAATACGTTTCCCAAATTTTCCTTATAATTTCTCAGATTTCTTTCTTCTTTTCCTGGTGATTAAATCTCATCCTTTGTGTAAAATAAATAATTATAAAATATTTAGACAGATAAAAAGTGCAGGCCCCTCCATGCAATTGAAAATGTTAAATTAAAAACGTGGCACAAAAAGAATCAACCTGGACATCCTTATCATGCATATATTCTGCTTCCTCCAATTAAAAGATTGTACATGATTATTATTGCCCTACATGTATGTAAAAAATTGTATCTGCATATGCATCCTCTGTTACGCTCAACTGGCAACATCAAGTTTCTGTCGGATGTAGCAATTATTATTGGACAACAAAGCAATTCGACAATCGATCTGATGGATCACAATTTTTAAGTTCCCAACAGTAGAATGGAAATGAAAGCCTAAAATTAAGAAGAGAAAAAACAACTTTTTTCCGGATTTGGAGGGTTTAGGCCATCTCGAACAGGGGAGGGCTAAACATCTTCGGTTCATTCTAGACACAAGAAAAATTTGTTAATTACCTTGCCAGAATAAAATACACGAAGTACGTTCTTGAAAAAATAGAAACAGTTGTACAATTGTCAAGATTCAGAAATGTTTTCTTCTCTAAGTGAGTAAATTTTAATTTTTTTTCAAATAAAGCCTGCAAATAATGGTGGAATGCAGAGCAACTGTGCCCTGACAAGGCTCAGTTTGTCTTCTTCTCATGGCATAGCTCAAGTTCAGAACGCTACACTTTTAAATCATACCCTTATGTTATTCTCTGCACTGCAAGCTGGTGCACAGTTATCTATAGTTTTGGGTTGTAATTAACTAGGAGCTTTTCAATAAGAAATTGTTTTCTTCTCTTAGAAAATAATTCATCAAAAACACAAAAACGGAAATATCTGTAATTGAAAACACAAAAGCAGAAATATCTGTAAATGTGTCAAATTGTAATTATAAATTTATAAATAAACCTAATCCTAGACATGTATTTATAAAAAAAACTCAAACATTATTTAAACATAAAAACATACCCAAAATCAACTCCAAAATCAATAATTGTACATTTTTTGGGTGTGTTTATAAATGGGTTTTGAGTGTGTGTAATAATGGGTTTTGGGTGTGTTTATATAGTGTTTTGGGTGTTGGGTTTTTTTATAATTTCAGCCCTTATTTTTGGTGTTCTAGTGAAACTCCCAATTGTAATTTACACAAAGTAAGAATATCTTTCCAAAAAAACAATGTTTGTTTTCCAATTACTTCTTCCTATGCTACGGGTTACATTTTTTCATACTCACTGCTTCTCTCTAATAATAATAGCATTTTTTTTTTATTCCAAATAAGGTCGATATTAGGTTAAAGCAACATTTTAATAAGTTTTTAAGAAATTTTCAAATTTTTTCTCTTTTCCTATTCTACTTAGATTTCTTAGAGATTTTAGGATTTGGGATTGGTATTTGAAGCAACTTGAGATTTGTTTTCTTTATGTCATTCAGATTTTAATAATCGATAAATTTTGAAGTTTTTCTCAAATCCGGTGGGTTGAAATTTTGCTCTTTTATTTATGTATTATGGGGTCACCATGGCGGTACGTGTTTGAGTAATTCAGTATCTTGTCCTTTTAAGTAATCTTGTAAATGGAATTTGAATTGAAGTTGCTTACAATTCCATTAACTTTGCACGGTGGAGTGAGTAGTGATGTGACTTCACAATTACGTTATTCATGTTCTTTAAATCAGAGAAAGTCTGGTGTGTATGTTTGTGTATATATAATATATACAGAGAGTTTTTGTTGAAGAATCCCTCAAATATTTGAAGGACACCCTGCATTGTATTTCACTAGTCCAAACTATCTATTTTGTAGATATTCATTCAAAGATCATCTCTATATAAAAAATCACTTTAATCCAATATCATTTGATCACTCAATTAAATTATTGAAATTTATGTACTTTCTTAAAGCATCGTGTTTATTGACTTTGTTGGTCTAAATTAGAAGCCTTAATAATTTTCAATTTGGATGATTTTTATTTTATTTTTGTTGTTTTAAGGATAAGCTCTAAATGAAGATGTGAAAAATAAATATTTTGGATCGTTAAAAAAAAATTCATAAGCTACCCTAAATGGTGTCCGTCAAAGAAAATTATTTGAATAATCCATCAGTTGAAAGGGACTGATATCCATATACATATACGTGGATAGCCTTCAATATTAGATACAAATTTAAGGCGGTCGTGAATATAGTGGAGATTGGTAAGAAATTGGCATATGATATGATAGTAGTCATGCAAACAGAGATCGATTTGGCATATGATATGATAGTAGTCATGCAAACTAATAAATAAATATATTAGTTTGGTTGTCAATTTTCTTTTGAAGGTTTGGTAAAATCAAATATATAAAAAAATCCTTAAGACAGTGAGGTGAGAGATTTCAGAAAATTAGTTGTTTCAATGGCTGTCGTTCAAACTGATAAAACTTTGAGCAGAGGGGATTTTGCCTCATTTGGCCAGTCATCGTGACCGAAAATGGGTTCTTTATTTTATATAAATATTAGATCCACCTGCACTAGAAAATATTGTAGAAGGTGAAGTTATTAGTTCAATAATTTTCTTCTTTTTTTTCCTTCCTAATTTCTTTTTGGTTATTTTAAATGCTATGATACAAAATGTTTGGTATCGATTAAGCATTGAATGGGGACATAATCTCATAAAGTAAGGTACAACAAATGTAAGTCCAGATTCTTAATCAAATTGTGGGGACCTTATCAATTTAATGATGTTTAAAGTCTTTTGAGATTGGTAGGAAGATAATAGGGGCACTACCCTACATATATTTTATATGTGGATAACGTTAGCTTTATTTTCGATTTGATATGTAAAACGATGTAACAAACAGTCTCAAACAAATCCTAAGTTTTAAACCTATATCTCGAACCTTTCATTTCTCACTTGTGAGAGTTTTATTTGTATTGTTATGATTTGGTTTTTTCAAGCTTTATCTCTTTTTAATTATTCTAAGTTTGCAAGCTTAATTAGGATGTTTATGCCGGAATTTCTTCAATCATACATGATCATTAGTGGATGCGCACCAAATTGTCTTAATTTTGATGTTAGACCGCTCCGTTATTGTAATGACTCTTTTATAACTAATTTGTATTGGCCCTTTGTGGCTAATGACTTTTTTGATTGAATTATGAATGCAATCATAATTTTTTTTTAAAAAAAAACCTAGACCTAAAATCGAAAGTGGTTAGTTTTTTTTCACATTGTTCTTGTTTATGCTGGAAGAGACATAATTTTTAACTTTACAAGCCCTACACGTGAGTTGTACGTTACAATTATCTATCTTCCCTTGTCTGTGGAAATGGGCAATTTCTGTATATGTCAGATTCTCAGAGTCAGAGTCCGTAACTATATTAAATGGTTTTCGGCCTCATTCCAAAAATTTTGGTACAATAAATTTCTACTGATCGCTAATTCACGAATGCAATATTTCCCTTCTGTTTTGGTAAGTCATGAATTGACATGTTAATTTAGGCTGTTATCCAATGTAATTATGGCTCATCAAAATGCAGCACTTTTGTTAACTCTTTGTTTTGTATTCGTAGAATCATGGTTATGCCCATGAACACGTGTCAAGTATTAAAAAAAGTAGTGATAGTACAGCTCGAGTTAACCTGATGAGAAAAATACGCTCTATATAAAAATATCAAATGTATATTGATTTTGAATTTTCCATAGAGAACTCGTTTTCGTCGCATTGGATTCTTGTGGTTATTGTCTCGTCTGTTGTCAGATGTTCTTTTTACATTGCATTTTAAAGATTCCAATGTAAACTGGAGACTGTCTTTTTTCCCACACAGTCCCACTTGCAGTAAAATGTATAAGAAGAACAGAGACGTGACCAATTCTTCCCAGCTTGCAACAGCAAGCAAGCTTCTGGAAAAAGGACATAAAAAAAATGCGTATCGAAGAATCAAGATAAATCGATGGAGAGAGAGAGAGAAGCAAAAAGTTGGAATACTCCCTTTTCCCTTCACCCAAAAAGAAACTATAGTAGCAAATATCATCTCATCATCTGGTGTTAAAACTTTTGAAGGGAAAAAGAAGACCGTCGATCATTTGTAGTGGTCCATGTATATACCTAAAAGTTGATTCTTCTGCCTTTTCCTTTAACCAATAAATTATAATTTGTGGGAATTAATGTAGTCGATTTAATAAGCTTTTATATTGTCAAATATGATGGCCGTTCTTTTTTGAGTAGTTAGATTTTTTCATCATCAGATATGATATGTTTTCAATTAAATCCGCCGCAGTGTCAAATTGTGTTTTGATTTTAGTCCTTTTATTGGATACACTACTTTGAATATGTACATAAACACCAAACTGTAGATGTATTGATTGATACTTGATTCTTAGCAGAACATATGTGTAAATTACGTTTACGTAACATAATCATACTAGTTGAAAATTGTTCATATTCACAATCAAGCGTGCATGCAGGTCGTCCTTATGTCCAATATATGTCTATTCTTTTTTGAATTTAAGACTACTGGTTTGCAAGTTAATGCTTTTTTTCATTAGGTTAGATCTCGTTGGCTTGTGAAGACAAATATTGAAGGTTACATTACATGACTTGCGTGGTATGCTACAAGAAAAAAAACGAAAACCTAATAATTACACTGAAAAAAGTCAATTACAAAGCAACAAAAAAAACACATCCAACTCATGCCAACAATACATGATGTACATGCATATGCATGGTCAAGTTCCTACACAGACTAGAAGTTAAAACTTGCCAGTCACAACATCTCATCTGACCAATTTCCCTTAACGAAAAGGAATTGGAGTTTCCATTGTAACTGTCGTTTTCAGCATCAAGTTGTAATTAATTAATTTAAACCATTTCCTTATAAGATAATCTAATCAATATAATCTTAATTAATGTGCATGTGGATTAGGTAGCTTCTGATCTTGATTCGATCTTCTACAGCAAGGTTGTTGTATGTAATTAATGTCGTCTCTCGTTACATCATTGAACGCATGTGCATCCATCTCTAAGAGGAGACCATGGGTACTATAATGTGTCAAGATTTATGAGATTAAGTATAATTTGTACAAAAATGCTGCTAAACGAACCTTAAAATTAATCGAGTACACTAGGTGAAGCAAAGCAAAAGTTAACGGTGAAGAGGATCGATATGTTTGGATAAGCACCAGTGGGGTGACTAGTAGCTTATTTACGCATCATTTTGTCGATCTTAAATAACAATTTCATGCAAAGAGTTAATTATAGTTCGTTTAATAGCACTCTTTGTACAAATATATGAAAGTTGAACTGAATCTAGCTGGAATGTTGGTAACAATACGATTGAGTTTGCATAGAAATTAAAATGAAGAACAAATTTTTATTTTTTTATTTTTTATATTCGGAGCAAAATTGTATCATTACCAACATTCCAGCCAGATTCAATCAACTGCGTATATTTTTTTGCCAATCTCAAAGCTGATGGTAGTAGATTTTGCGGGAAACACGTGAAAGGATTGTATTTTTTGTTCTTGACAATTACTGATCGTTGATATGAAATAATTGTAGTGGGGCTGGATTGACTATTGGTAACGATACAATTAAGGTCAAGATCAATCTCTTCTTGAAAATTCTGACACTTCACTTTCCCCTCTAGGGATAAATAAATTGTGATAAAGGGGCACATATCTAACTTATTTAGTCGTAAAGTATTTAGTTTAGATTAACGACTGAGCTTGTGTACGTAGAAAAACTCGTTTAATCTCTAACGACATGACAAGATTTTTATACTAACTAGTTGCTTCTCCTATTTTATCAATAAAATATTATCGCTTTCTCTAAATAAATAAAAAAATTCACTCGAGTCACAATCTAAAGATAATCTTTGTTTAGGTCCTAAAGTCTACACACGTCTAAATAAAACTAGGTTAGGGCATTGTGTTAAGAAGGTAGGAATGAAAGACTGTCACATCGACTACTTTAGTTTTCTATTGGACAAATTAATAGTAAAAAATGAAAACAATTTTTCCTTTTAAGGCGGCGAGAGAATCAAAATTTACCCTAAAGAAGGGACAGGTCACAGGATAATTTATTACTATAATATATCATGCAAGCAACAACAGAGTAAACAAACAAAAGTAAACGTTGTACATGCACTTTGTTCATCATTTTAATTTGTCGTACTTCGTTTTCACCCATTATTTTTTGGGTTGGGTTTAGCTGTAAATGGATTTGTCGGCAGCTGAGCCAACCATGGAAATGTTCTTGCGTGTCCGACGATCACTCCAAGACTCACATGGAAATTGGAAATGGAAGGCCAAATTCCATTTTGTTTTTGTTTTTTTTTAATGTTAAAAATTTCAGGTTAATTAATCTGTAAGTCAATGGTTTTGACAATCAGAACATGTTGGCCGACGAATTTGATAACCAATAAAGTACAAGGTACAAACTACAAAGTAGGTGATTACCGGACAACATGGGAAAAAACAACATGAAATCGGAAATCTAGGTAGGAGGGTGAAGTAAACAAAGCCAACTAATCCATTTCCATACGTACGTGTTTGTTACTCATCGGGAAGATGAAGAAAATATTTGTTTCCCAACTTACAACTGGGTGTTTATTAACTCATCCACAAAGTCAAAGGTTTATATGATTGAATGGAATCTGAAGCCGAGTAAAAACGTTTACCACTAATATAAAGAAGATAAACAAACTCAATGACGCCTGGTCAAAAGTCTGGATTGGAATGTGAGAAAAAATTGTATAGCTATTCAATTTGGAATTTTGGAGTATGAGACGAGATGCATGATGCCTTATGATATTTGTTATAACCAACTTGAGCGGGCTTTCATTCAAGTCCCATTGCCCCAACTTAGATTGAATAGGTCATGATAACCTTTAATCAGCAACTTGATTGCAGGCATGTTTAGATTGATCATATCCCATAATATTAAAAGGGAAGGATTTTGCAATGGGCTTATAGCTTAAATGGTTAAGAGCATTTATCTCTGCACCGAAGTCTTCGGTTTGATTCGATTCCCTCATCTTAAATATCGCTTGTATATTAAAAAAGGGATTTCACACTTTCCTTTTCTCCCCATTCACTCATTCCTCTTTTTCTAGCCTTAGGAGTGAATAAATTAAAGGAGAATCAAAAGACAAAAACAAGAGGAGTGTAAAATGAGAGTGAAAATTATTACATTATTAAAGTTAGGCTTATTATCACAAAACCCTAAGGTTTACGAAACTATCAGATTGAATCCTTAATGTTTTTTTGTGTCACTTATGGTCCTCAATATTAGTATGTGCGATCACAAATAGTCAATGCCGTTAGGTTTCGTCAAAAACTCCGTTAGTGTGCTGACATGGCATATATATATATATATATATCACAAAACATCCCTAAGGTTCACACACTTATCACAAAAGGTCCCTACGAAATTTTTTAATTTTTTAATTTAAAATTCATAAAATTTTGGTTTTCTTTTTTAAATTATTTATAAATGAAAAAACCATTTATAGAAGGATTTTAATCTTGAAAACCATTTATGAACCCTAAACCTTTAGTTTTTTCGTTTTTAAATTATTTTTTAAAAACTCCATTAGTTTGTTGATGTGGCATATATATGGAGCCCACATCTACAATAATATAGTGTCACATGTATTTAAAATATAATATATATTTTTAAATAATTTAAAATTCATAAAATGACTATTTGTGATCGCACATACTAACCTTAGGACCATGAGTGACAAAAAAACATTAAGGATGCAATCTGATAGTTTCGTAAACCTTAGGGGCATTTTGTTATAATAAGCCTTGAAGTTAATGTAAAGTTTAAAATTGTTTTCTTTATACAAGCGATAGTGGGTTGAGGGGACTCCAACATAGGATCTTTGGTGCATAGACAAATACTCCTAATCACTTGAGCTCTAAACCCCTTGCAAACTTTAACGTTTGTAGTAGGTTTCTTATTCAAGGTAAGCTGCATGCATAATATAAACTTTGGTATCTTTAACATTATTGCTCTCACACTTCACACGGTTCGTTTATTACATGCACTCGCACACCAAGTTAAATTAAGTTGACCGTCAAAGGGTAAGACTGTCTTTAACTATAAAAGCTAAAAGCTAAAAATGGTTATAAACTTTCGATTTTAAGTAGTAGCATTCAACCTATGCTTATTTTCCCTTGCATTCCTTATACAAAAATATTTGTTTGATTTCGTTCATTAAACGAAGCACCTTCTTGTTAATTTCTGACCCAAAAGAAAGTAGGAGGAAATAAGAAAGGGAGTGAGAGGCCAAAATGTTACGAGCACCAACCGTTAAATTCCTAAAATATAAATATCAAATTCATTAATCAATCAGCTAACTTGCATATTCTTAGAAATAAGAGAACATAAATCAGTTACAACTCGCAAGCAAGAAAGATGATGGGAAATCTAGACTAGGGAAGAAGCAAATAAGGGCAAAATGAAATTGACCAAACTGAAAACTGTAACTGGAATATACACGAGAATAGATTGTGCACTAGTTGAAACAGCTGCACTGCAATACAATCCACTCCTCTTCAAACTCGTATTTTTCTCCGTCTTTCTACTTACTTAGATGCACGTCTACTAAAGTTTATACATCCCCATTACTCAAAAAGAGAATACTTTACATCGACGTTCAACTGGGTGTTTGCTTACTGACGAGTTTTACAACAGGCAATACAGACCTTCATGCACTATCGACATTGTGTT